TTCTCATCTATCTGAATCGCAGATCTCCGGGAAAATTGAAAGCGAATAATGGAAGGGAAAATGTGTAAGCGAAGCGCCGCTTCATCTCACTTAGTCGTGCCAATGCTGCGGTAAATTGACACTTTAAAATGCGCTCCAAGTCTGCTTTTTGGCATTTGCGCTGCTGCCGGTGCCCAAGTAATGGAAAAACTTTCAACTTTCCAACCGAATAGTCGAATAGCGAAGTCGCAGTCTGTGTGTCTCGCGCACACAGTTTATATTGATTTTTATTGTGCGTTTCCAATGCGAATAGAAAATGGAAAATCCCCTGCGCGCTATCGCAGCAGCCATCTGAAAAGCCATCTCTCTACATCTGTCCCTATCTCTTTCCGTGTGTTTTCCATCTCTGTCTGGCAGCTACGAGGTACGCTACACGCCCACCAAATACATCGAGACGAACGAGGGCGGTCTGGTGCTGCTGGCGGTAAACGAGGGCGACGGCGGGCGGTACGACAGCTACTTGGATGGCACCCTGCTCTGCAGCTACGGCGTCACCGTGGACGCCCACAGGTGAGTCAGCTCTAAAATTTTAAGTTATCCAGCCAGTGCTGCCAAAACAGGGGCTGAAAGTAGCTTCAAGAAAACACACAATTGTACAAGACATGCAAATATATATAGGGGATGCCACAGAAACCTCTTGAGATTAAAAACCAATTAATAAGGTGTCTTAAAGTATGGTACAAAATTACCGAAAGGCATTCTTTTAAATACTATGAAAAGTCGCTTTTAAACCAAATTTCTATTTCTATGGTACTTGCAAATCTGTTAAATTTACATTTTATAAAATGGTTTATATCGAGAATCAATATTTGCTTGCTTCTTATATTACTAAGTTTTTTTTAGTTATTTGAATCCACATTGAAACAGCCTAAAATTCGTTTACTCATTAAACTACAAACTTTTTTTTAATTAAATAAATTAAAAAATTTTAATTTGTTTCAAGCGCGAATTAGTTTCATTATTAATAGGCTTTTAATAGATTAATTTGTTATATATTAGTAATATTCCCACAGTAATGCAATCTGAAATAAAATCCGACTTGGCAACACTGCCCTGCCCGCGCACATCAAAAACCCAACCCCCTGGAGCCTAATTTCCGCGAAAATGTCAATAACTTATTGCTCACTTTTCCCCATTTAGATGCTCCCCGCCGTCGCAGAAGCAGGACTACCAGAAAATCTACTCGCACTGGTGCAACGAGTTCGAGAAATACAAATCGGCCATGAAGCAATGGCAGGCCAAACAGGAGGTGTGTATCCCAGGGAATTATATTTTTGACTTTGGCTTTGGCTTGGGCGCCAGCTGCCGTTAATTGTTTTAATTAATTTTTCGGCGTCAGGTGCGGGGGTGCTTTTAGAGTTTTAATTATTTTGTAATTTGCTGGCAGAGATCTAAGTGTTTTTTACCCCAACTCTTTCATTCTTTTTATTAGCAATGTGGCCTGAAGGACAAAACAGGACCAATCAGCAGCAACGGCAAGCATGTGAATGATGTGTTCAGCAACGATGCTTTGGTCTGACCCAGAAGTGAGTATCCTTGAATCATAGAATGTAGAGCAACCCATGTAATCCTGCATAATTAGAGCACTGAGAAAAATGCCTTCTACAGTCAAGCATACTCTATGCTCCGAAAAACAATGCTGGTTTTAAATATCTTACTTTTGCTATTTGCATTTTAAAATCAAGAAAAACATTCTAAAGTAAAATATGTGTAAAATGTATTCGGTTACTTTTGGAAAGATTTAAAATAAAAAAGAGAGTTATATATTGTACATTAAAAAGCGAAATTACATTAGTATTTGACTTTTACAATATTTAAATTAAAGGAATGTTTTCTAGTACGTAATCTAGAATGAATCTAGATATGTGTTTTAAGCCAACATTATTCTCTTGACTTTGGAAGGTGTTATTTCCTGAGTAACCTATACCCTGCCATCATCACCAGTTCCCGCATAACCAGTAGTCGTAGTTCTAGTAGTATTAGACCCTGACGAAATCTAACCAAAAATGTCCTTTGTCCATTCCCCCCTGCCCCCTTGGCTGCTGCGGATGCCCACCCACAAAAATTGTTGTTGCCGCTGCCCAGAGTACTTGTACAGCTTTGAGTTCTTGTCGTCGTCGACGGAGGGCGTGGCCACCGCCCACCGCAAATTGTACATTTTCGTGTTCGTGCTTACCATATTTGCTCGCTTCTAAAGTTTCTAGTTAAAATGTAAATGTAAGTTGAGTGCCCATGTAAGACAACCCACACTAACCCCCCTCTACCTACACCTCCCCCTCCTTTTTCCCCGACTGCTGCCCACTCAATCTCACTTTCTATATCTAAACATATTTGCTTTATTTGGGTTCATTCTGTTTGCAGGCGCAGAGAGGCAGTAAGCAACCGAGGAAAATTCGGAGAACCACTATGAAAATGTGACAAGGGCCGAGCTGAGGAAAAAAGAAAAAACAAAACAAGAACAAAAACAAAAACAAAAACCAGAAGAAAAAATATGAAGATAGAGGAAAAACCACTACAAAGACTGAAATTTTTAAGCTTTTAAAATCGACAATATTTCCAATAATTTCAATGCGTTTTTTGGTCATGCGTTTCGTTTCGTTTTGAGATGTTGTCAGCGTCAAACTGAATGATTTTCGACATTAACTAAACTGATATACAAAGATGGAGTAAACGAGAAAAGTTACTAGCAAAAGGATCCTGCCATAAGTCAAATGGAAATTACGGTTTTACACTCACACAAGAAACACTTACAGAAGACACTATTTCTATTTCGAGCTAAGGTTAAGGTAATCTAATACGGATACAGATACGGAGATGGATACAGATGGAACTGCAACCACCTAAGTGAGAATCTGACCTAAGGCAAAGTATTAACCAAGCTCATGAGGCGCAACGATTTGATTTTGATTTCGATTTGGTTCAGTTTCCGGCAACTCGTCGCTTGGCCATTTCGGGTTTGGGGTTGGGAAGATCTTAAACGAATTTGTATATTACTTAGCCATATTTGTTCGACTAAACTAGCGTAAGATATATAGGCATATACACGGATAGCTGCCCCTGTTTAGGTCATAGACGAGTATGGAACCAACTTAATACGATAGCCAAAACCAGAAACGGAAATACAGTTTCGACATGACGCACAGCATAAAGGCTATATGGGCTATAGCATGAGGGGGTCTTGTAAATAGGAGGGCTTTAGACGATAAGTAAACCAGCATTGATTTTGATTTTTACTCGGCTCCGATTCTGATTTGAAATTATCTATTCGGCATTAACTCGCTCCTGTATAGATTGTGCGTTGGCCTAATGTTTACGATAAGCAATACATAGTTATATATGCATACGCGTACTTATAAATATAAATAGATACATGAAGTTACTGCATTGAGACCAATATGCTCATGATTACTTATCCGTAAATAGCGTAGGTAAGTTGGTGTGGCAAGTAAATACGTTTTTAGTAATATTGCAGAAATTCATTCACAAGAAACAAAAAAAAAGAACTCAAAACACGACTCGTTGCATTTAGTAAACATATTTATATCCCCGAAAACTGCCATAATAACGCATAAATCAAGGAAAACCCAAACGCTTCAGTCAACACAAAACCAAAATAGGTTTGTTCAACAGAAACCAAAACAAAAGAGATAATTAAAAGAAGCTCTTAAGCATTACTCTCACCCATACACACACTCAATGTATTTTTCTAAAGATTTTCTCTGCAAAATTTTTAATGTTTTCAACTTAGGATTTACCCAATAAAAACAAAAAAATAAGCAAACATTTTAGCATTGCATACCGGCAATGCATTGTAAATGAACTAAACAAAACCACAAATAGAAAACTATTAAACGAGAAATATTTAAAAGCTACTAATGCTCTGAGCTTCTAACTTTAATGGATGAAATGATTTTGCGTTGCCTTCAGTAGAGTGTTTTGTTTGAAGATTTATTGTAAATAATTTAAAGATTATGTGAAATGTTTTGTATGACAATCACATGATGTTGAGTAAAAAACAAAAAAAAAACAAACAAAAGAGGAAAACAAATTGACACTCGGAAAAAACACGCAAAAAATATGAATCAAATTGCCAATGTGGCAATTAAAGATGGAAATTAATATTAATTGAGTACTTAACGAACAATTCACTGTAAAAATATTAATACAAAGTAATTAAATATTCGCGGTAAATATATATATATATATATATATACATAAATAGATAAACGACTTTTACAAAGTATTCATACAATAAAAGAAGATTTGCGCTTAACCATCATTCGAATCAACTCAATTCAGGGTTCAAATCGAATAAATTTCAAACGCAGAATAGTTCACGAGCTATCGAAATATTTCCCGAAAACAGCAAAATCAGAATAACAGAAACAAATGAAGAAACAAATTAGATGTAAACACATAAAAAGTAAAATGCAGTAAATAAATGTGATAAGATTCTTTAATAAGCAAAACAAACGATTGTGTGGTCTTTTATTTGGGATGCGACTGTAAAAAGGGGAAGCAATATGAAAAAACGGTTCTAAATCGAATTCGAATTCGAAACCGGGCTTTTATTTACTTTAAATGAGCAATGTTCTCCAACGCAGAAAGCCAGCGAAGAGCGATAAGAAGAGAGTCTTGGTAAAATATTAAATTTTGCTGGTCGACTTCGTTGTACACTTACCCCCATAGTCCAATGGTAAGTAAGGACTGTTAAGCAATTTTTGCGCCTTTTCTAATCAATATTAAAACTAAAAATAATTGTGATATTTTTACGTTTTAATAAATATATTTTTTTGAGGTGCAAACATCACATTAATGCTAACATTCCCTATAACCTTGCGTTGCAAACAGTTTTAATAAATCAAAGTAAACCAATTTTAAAAGAGTAAAAGCAATGCCATACCATACATATGGTTACGCAGGAAATCGTACAGCAATTTCAATCTCCCCTCAAAATTGAGTAAGTAGTAATAAACAAACCGTTGAGCGAGTAGCATTGATTTACACAAAGTTTTCATAAACAAAATTAATAGAGATAAGAGCTGAAAAAATGTCAACTTTGAAGTTGGTGCTTCAGTTTCTACTCCTTGGCCTTGTGTTAGTTTCTGGAAGCTTTCGTTATTACAGGAAGTACAAATACTCCCCAGAGCTGATAAGCGAGTTGAAAGACTTTGAGAAGCTGATTCCCAGTGTCACCATCGACGAAATAGTCGCCGAGCACATGATTACGGACTCGGGCTTTCGCAAAGCCGTAAAGTTTTTGCGCAGCTCCGATTTCAAGAGGTTACAGCAGCGCATTGAGTCTCTGCCAGAAGTTGTGGATCTGATTAACTTTGTGCATCTGAATGACACGGCCTTCGGAAAAGTGCAAAAACACTGGCATCATCGTGACAATTACATCAGGCATCGTCGATCGGCTGGTGACGATCTCAGGGAGGAGATTATCATGGTGCTCCTTGAAACGAGCTCAGAAGCCGGACAGTTAAGTTCCTTTACGAGTTTCGTGGAGGAGCTTCTCACGCATCTGCCCCGAGATCGATTTGTGGCCCTAATAAACGAAAAACGCCAGCGAAGCCCCATATTTGCAAAGTTCTATCAGGCCCTGAAAAGTTCAGAATTCAAGACAAAATCCGAAGCGGCTTGGGTAAGACATATTAATATAAATAGCATAGGGAAACAGATTTAATACTACAAAACAAATATATTTAAATTAAAAAAAAGTCCCAAACCAACACTATTGAAACGAAAATGAATAATAGAATTATAGGAACTAAAAAATCATAAGAGAACTATAGAAATTTCCAAACAATAATATTGTAATATTGTTAATATTGTAGGTAGAGCTTTTGATAACAGACTCATTTTAAGAACTATCATAAGTAGTACTTTAGACTTATGTTTTGAAATGCTTTTATGAGTGACACTTGCATAAAGTAACCTTTAAGAATTTAAGTCACTTTTCTTGTTTTTTTTTCAAATTTGTTTAAATACTCCATTTATTTGTAGAACACAACGAATGTACAAAGCGTGGTTCGAGAGCTCGCCGGACATTCCATCAATGCCCAGGACCTGAAAACGATTGGCTACGAAGTCATCTCGTGGGGACCAACATAGCCTTAGAATTCGCATACATTTAAGTCCAATAAAATCAGAACTTAATGGCAGTGTTAGCCAAAGTCGAGTGCCATTGCCTTCTAAAAAAATGTGGCTAATGAAAATTCCAGATGGGCTCCGCTCCATTCATGCCAAAAGGCCAACCGATAAGCGATGGCCGGAAAGTGCGGTAAAAAAGCTAAGCAAATAATTCAATGCGACAAAGGGGAAATCGACACAATGCCGGGTTGCATTTCATTTTCCGTATTGATAAATGGAATGGAATATCATGCTTTCGCTCAGACGCACACCTGTCAAAGCCAGACTACTACACACACACGCACACAACCGAAAGACTCATGCAATTTAATTTGTCTGCATTTTTGTTGTGGCTGTGTTTCCTACCATTTCATGGTGGTTGTTTCAATTATTTTATTGTCGTACGGCGATAGTTTCGAATGCAGTCACTGGAGAATTGTGAACCAGCCAACACACCACCCATGCACATGCCATACATGCTATACAGTCGAGCATTCGAGTGTGTATGGCTATGGCGATGGCGATGGCCACACACAGCATGAGTTGACACATGAAAATTGCATGCAATTAATTGCCCGACGGCATACTTCGTACTCCGACTTTGGTTCGAATCGAAATCAATATGCAGACCGGGCAAACAACTGTTATTAGACATGATACGCCGCCATGCAATTTGCCCCCCAGTTAGTAGCCCCTTAATCCCAGCTCTTGGGTTCACTCCATTTAATAAGTAAGTAAGGACATGGGTCCTAGATGTTGAGCTTGTAGTATTTGTGGGATTCCGTGGTGGCGATACTACGGTTTTGCATGCAGTAAACGTCCACGATGTTCATGCGGTACTGCGGGTCGTACAGCGAGGCCTTGATGTACTCCATGGGATTCTCGGGCTGGGGCCACAGCGTGGCCAGTCCGCGCCGAAAGGCGTACGTGAAGATGGCCTCGGCCATTTGCAGGCTGATGCACTGCATCTTCCGCATCGGCGGATAGACGTTGCGCTGCTCCAGGTCGCAGGGCCACACCAGACTGGCCAATCGCTCGGCGGCCACGCAGAAGGCCTCGTCCGGAATGGTGGTGAATCCGGCCAGCATCACGCCGCAACTAATGCCGGCCACCAGGTAGGTACTGGTGCAATGGCCCGGCTGATACCATTTGTTGGCATACTTCAGCGGCGGCAGCTTCGAACCGGAGATGAAGATGCAACGTCCCTTTGTGTAGGCGAAGGCTGCCTCAGCCGTGCACTCGGCCAGCTCCTTGGGTCGGGACAGGGCAAATATGACCGGCTGACTGGAGCTCTGCTCCATGGCCCGCAGGACGTCGGGCGTAAAGCTGTTCGGCTGCGAGGAGCCACCCACCAGGACATTGGGCTTCAGCTCCTTGATAGCCTCCACCAGACTGGGGATCGGCTCTCGCGTCTGGGCAAACTCCAGCAGCTCCTCGGCAATGTCCTGCCTGGCCATCACTATCAAGCCGTCCGCATCGCAGAACCAAATGCGCTGCCGCGCCCTCATCTCGTTGATGCCCTCCCTGCGCAGCATGGCCATGCAGAGCCGGGCCAGGCCAATGTTGATGGCATCTCCGCCGTAGAACAGGAACACATTGGCCGCGAAGAAGGCCCTCTTCAGCCTGTCGCAGACTATGACGCCGGACAGGGCCACGGCGGCCAGGCACTGGAAGTCCACGTCCACGATGCACTGGCGATCGCGGTACAGCTCCAGCTGCCTCTTGGCCTTCTGGGCCTCAAAGTCCTTGCACAGGATGAGGGCATGGGCACCATACTGCTGGATCACCGCCAGAGTGAACTCCTCGAAGAACTTGTCGTACAGTGCGTCCGAGACGCGAGGCTCCCGCAGGCCCGTGTAGGCGTGATCCTCCAGCCGCTGTTCGTTGTTGGTGCCCACGTCCAGCATCACGGCCAGACAGAAGTTCGGATGAATGCCGCCGAAGACGACGTTGTGGTGGATGTTGGAGAACAGCATGGGCATCTCGTCCACGCCCATGTCGCCGAGACTCAGCACCGACGCGCCGTTGCTGACCAGCAAACAGCGCACACACCGGTATGGCCAATTGGCCAGAATCTGGGGAATGTGGCCCAGGTCCTTGATGGTTATGAATATGCCCTGGCCGCCGTGGCTCATCATCGCGTGGATCTTGATCAAGTCGGCCGAGGCCGTGACATCCGTGTAGGGCACATAGCGTTCGGGATTGCTCAGCAGTAGGGCGTAAAAAAGGCGCCTGTTCTTGCGCGCCATGAAGGCCATGTACATGTACCGCTGCAAGGGGCTGTTGAACGACTGGATGATCTTTGAGCAGGCGGCAATCTGGTCGGCAACGGTGCGCACCACCACCGGCAGCAGTCCGTGGATGGACAGCACCCGCCGTTCGTTCAGCGTGAAGGCGAGCCCCTTGTTGTAGTTGCCGTGGTTGAGCATCCACAGTCCATTGACCTTCGAGCCGCTCAGCCTGGTGTCCGTCCGCCAGAAGGTGTCCATCCTGCGCGGCATCGTGTCGATCCGCCGGACCCGCTCGAAGTCGCTCACGCACTTCAGCTCGTTCTCCTCCTTCTGCTTCTGCTCGGCCGTCACCTGACGCTCGGCATGTCGCCTTGGCGTCCGCTTCATGGTGTCCTTGGGCAGGATGAGTGTTGCAAGGATATGTAAGGTATAAAGGGTATAGGCGGGCAGCTGACTGCGTGTGGAATATTAAAGTTCTAACAAGACCTGAACCAATAATGACGCGGATAAGACCGCCTGCTTGTTCATCTCGTACTCATTTGCATACAGTGACAAATAATTTTGTTAACCATAGGTATACCCCACAGAAAATAAGGGAATATTGTTCAAGCAACCACCATAAATTAGATTAAGTCTTAAATACAAAGTAAAACGAAAAAATGTTATTTATTTATTTAAAAAAAATATAAATCCCAAAAAATACTTCGTTTTTCCATCTATCCATCTTATAAGTATTTCTCTTGTTAAACAATTTAAATAATGCAGTTTATTTGAACATTAAAAAAGAACAATATAATAATCCTAGACTTTGTTAATGACTTTATTGTGTATTATATATTTTCTGTCTCCTTTGTTAAACATGAGAGCCATTGATCGAAAAGTAATATATTTTTATTCTATAATTATGGTTAAATCATATGATTGAAGGTTCAATCTTATAAAACATCAACCAATTTGTTCTTGTCTTATTTTATTAACATCTATGAACTTAATTCGTATTTAAAACATTTATCCTTGCATTTTGTAAGGAATAATATTTAGAATAAAAAGTGTAAAAAAGGAACTTTTTAATAAAGATGAAGAACAAGAAGTGACATAATACAATTTAAAAGCGGTATACTAGAGTAGTTTACAAAGAACATGTTGGTAATGGAGATGTTGACATTTGAGTTTAATTGAATTAATTTTCCCTCAGTGCAGCAAGAGCAACCCGAAACGTAGACCAAATTCGAGACCGCATTCAGTTTCTCCTCCCGCTCCTCCTCGCCACATCCACGTCCCCTTGCCCATCCTCATCTCCATCCTCATCCGCAGCCACATTCATCCGTCCCACCGGGCATTATGCAAATTGTGTTGCGCACTTTGCGGCGACCTCAAACTCAGAGTGACATCCTAAAATGTCGCCACTTCCGCTTCGGATCTGGCCATCATCCCCACCCCTTTTGCGCCGAACAAGTTTGTCAGAATTTTGATGCAAAATATCAACAATGTCGACGACGGGGGTTTGGGTGGGAAACATCAAAGGCCCGGAGAAGAGAAGTCTTGGCCGCACCTTTTATGCTAAATACGCGCGACAGACAACACAGCCATTGCCATTTGTGGCCAGCACAAGTGCACTTGGCCAGCGGAATCTTAAGTGGAATGGCTGGCTGTCGAGTACTATTTTTTTTTGGCCCAAGAAGAGGCAGAGGAAGGGGAAGCCTGGCTAAGCATTAAAAAACAAAAGGGAACGAATGGCCCGGCCATAAGCGGCTTAATTTCCTGGGACTGTGTGCTCGGTGGGAACCCACAATCTTCCTCCCTTCTCAACTTACACATTCCGATAAGACTAACTGGGGGATACGAAAATTTAAATACAGCAAAAATTCCATAACTAATTGGAAGTGGAAATGCACAATACACTGTGGACTACGGACTAGGGACTACGGACAACGGACTACTGCTACGGAATGGAGTTGGCAACCTTCTAAAATCCAATTATCTACTGAGATGCACAAAACTCTGTGGGAATGCCGGGTGGTGTTGAAGGATATGTGGCTGGTTGGTTGGGTGGCTAGTAAGGTTGGGCGAATATGCATCACAAGTTCATAATGAAATCAATTTTCAATCAATCGTTCGCATAGCAAAGTAGCAGCAGCAGCAGCAGCAGCAGTCAGGCGGCAGTGTTTTTCTCAGCTTTTGCTCCCATTTTGTTTCGGTTTGTTTTGGGTCCTGGCTCCCTGCTCCTTGGTGCTTGGTCCTTGGAGCTCGGTGCTTGGTCCTTGGCCAGCCAGACATTTGCACTTTTTTCGCATTTGCAGCTCTCTCTGCTGGCCGCTTTTTTACCTTTTCGCTTTCGGCCACGGATGTGCTACAAATTGAATTTCTGCCGCGGGACACATTAAGCGATCGCCTGCCTACGGCCTTTGGCATTTGGACATAAAAATTTATGCGATTCGAGCGGGATCGAAATGGGAATGAGAATGGGAATGGGAATTGTGCTGCAGGTGGCCTGCACAAAGAATGTTTATGCGTCGTTTATACAGAACAATTTGAATATTTTATGGACAAAATTCGATTTCGGCTCCCCCTCTCGACGTCCGCAGTCCACAGTACGTGCACTAAAAAAGTTTTTGCATATGGAAATTGATTTCCTTTGACCACACATACTCGACTAGGACATGTGTGAGTCTGCTATAAATACTTGTGCGTCCGTGTCCAGTTTTTGGTCATTCACACGCACGCTTAGGCAATGCCAAAAGTCTGGTCAATTCGATGCTTGACAGTTGTCAGGCGAAGGGAAAAAATCGAACAAAAAATACGCCGAGAGCAAACCGAAAAGAACAAAAGTAATTTGCACCTCTACGGAAAAGTTTCGAAACCTGGCAATTTATATGCACCACGTGGCGCTTTTTTTTAGGGCCCTACAAACTGACCTATTGCACAGGAAAAAATGTATAAGACCCAAATTTGGATTGGAAAATGTTTATAAATATATTTTTAGATTTTTCCTAATTTTATTTGATTTTTAAATAGATGTGACAGAACATAAAATAATTTTTTTAACTTCCACAAAACTGTGAAAATTTCAAAAAAAAAAAAAAATCCTGTACACCCATAATAGATTCTCATTTAAAAAAATATACTATTACATTATTATATATAAAGATATTATAACTATATGATGACTTTATCAAATCATCTATTATGAAATTAAAAAATCTTCAATATCTTGCAAACTCTATTTTCAAATAGATCGTTCAAAACGATTTTCTTTCTGTGTATTCAAAACGCAAATAAACGTTGTCAGCATCTTATTATCAAAATGGCCGAAATTGTTAAAATTTTTACTTTGGAAACTTTAGCAGGCCACAAATCAAATCGGATAAACTCCATATGGATTTAGTCGCATTTCCAGCGAAAATATACGCAAAACTAATACTGCCAGGCAGTTGGCATAAAAAAAGTGGTCAACCCTTGGGGAAATTGTTGCAGTTTATCAAATATTTTCGCATCGCATGTCGTGGCCGGTGCATTTTGGCATTTTTATTGAAATTCTCCATTTATTCAGCGCTCGGGGCATTTAATGAAAGTGTCACACTATTTCACAATTTTGGCATTAACTATTTGGATAATTTATGGGCCCAACGGGTTAGCGGGGGCAATGGAGTGGCTCTGTGCCGTTTGTTAAATGTGAAACTGAAGTGCTCCTGGCGCACTCGAATAAATGTCACATGACTGTCGTTTCGGTGTGTGGCTGCTGTTTGCCTTTGGCCCCGAGCCTTGCACCAAACTGCTTAAAGTGAAAAGTCTTAAATAAAAAATTTATAAGCTTAATAAAAGCGTTGCAGCAAACTCAGAAGCGGGCTCTGGAGTTTCTGTCGATTCCTTGTTGTTCATCCATATATATATATTTATATGTATAAACATATATATATATATACAGAGAGCACACACGACAAACTTTCAAATCGGGAGCTACGTGCGTCAAAGCCAAAAAGCCCCAACTTTATATCGCGCTGTTTGCCCGCTTTTCCCATTTTCCCCCCGCTTTTACTTTGGCAACTTCAAAAGACTTTTAGCTTATTTTTTAAGTCTCCTTTTTTCGATGCTGCTGATGCTGCTGATGCTGCTTTTGCTATTTTATTTAATTTTATTTTATTTTATATTTCTTTTGACCAAGTTTCTGGTGCTGCTGCTGGTGTCGTTGCCTATTTAACTGGAATTTAGTGTTTATTTGGTTTATGCCCGAATATCGGAAGTGCCCTGGCCGAATATACATACATAAATATCAAAGGCGAGTGCTGAATTATGTAATTAACTTGTTGCACGCTTGCTGAATGGAGAGCAAAAACTATTCGCAATCTGGGCAAAACTAATCGCATGTATCCGGCAAATAATTCCGCCGCAAACGGACCCGCATTAGTGGCGAATTAAAGGACCCATAAACACGAAATCAGCGCATGCGAAGCGCTCCCAAGGAGCCAAGTCCGCATAAAAATTGTTAACGGAAGCGAAAATTAATTAAGCCACAGGCCAAGGGCAAAGCACGCACTGCCACGCGATTTGGAAAGGGGAGGCGGGAAAAGCGGCGAAAAGCGGTGAAAATCGGTCATCTGAGGCTGCTGCGCTCGCTCTGAAAATATTGAACGCCTGCCTGGAGACCGTAACGCGCTTTTAGACGTGCTCAAATATTTGCCAAACGTGTCAAAAGCGATGGAACACACTGCTCTTCAGATTGAGCGAAGGGGAATCCCCTCCTGACTCCTGCCCGAAAATACCGAAAAACCCCAATTGATTGAAGGTTGCGCAGGCAGTCGGCGATGACCTGTTCGTAAGAACATAATTTTTGTTTTTGTTACGCTCCACTGACATCCTTCGTAGGAGCAGTACGAGGAAGAGGATGAGGAATAGGAGGGCAGTCGATGGAAATCAAAGCCAAAACCCAAAAACTGATTGACAACTGACGGGCACAAGTCAGCGAGGATAAAGTACATATCGATTGATCTGTCCATCTATAAATAACCCATATCGAAATCAAACGTCACTGTAAAGGAAAAAACGTCATCCATAAATAGGTATTTATTAAAGGTTGTTTCGGTCTTTCAACTTAAACTCATTATCTATAGGATATGGCTTACATATTGATTGTAAAATTTAATGGAAAATGCCTTAGTCGTGGGTTATAATTTACTGCAAAAAATCGAATCCTCTTAACAATTTATTTAATTGTATGGTAAATATTAAGTATTTTAAGTAACTCCTTAATAAGATAATTGTTCGCATGAGTAAATCAATTACATACTGCTTAAATAATTATATTAGGTAGTTATGTTCTTTATTTTACTTATAAGATATTTGGGAGCTAAGGTATTTTACTGAAACTAAGTAAAGTATGAAAAATAAAATGGATATTTACCAACTATCGTCAGAAATTGAACCCAAATTTCAATTTTATATGATTTATTTTTATTATAGGCTGAAGGCATATCCAACTGGTCTCGAATGTTTTACTAATCTGCTGACATTTCGATTTTAGAAACATGTACCCAA